GTGTGTGTGTGTGTGTGTGTGTGTGTGTGTGTGTGAGAGAGAGAGAGTGCGTGTGTGTGTGTCTGTGTGCTTGTGTTTGTGTGTGTGAGAGTTTGTGTGTGTGTGTGAGAGAGTGCATGTGTGTTTGTGTGTGTGTGTTTGTGAGTGCATGTGTGTGTGGGCGAGGAGCGGTGGGGGGTGGGGCAGTGGTTGTGGGGATGATCAGTGGAACAGAAAATCCAGCATCTTCACTCCAGAACCAAGCCAGAAGCTGAACCTTACGGTGAGTATGGAGTGGGGTGGGGTGTCCTGGAGAAAGCAGAAAAGGTAACAAAGTCCTTTAAGGGACAAGAGGAATGTGTATGTTCTCCCTGGCCCCGCACAAAGTGAATCAGTGCTCGAAGGCTAACCTTCAGAAGTCCCTTTAATGCACATCCAGTGGTACATGTTCTTATCATTGGTACTTATATATTCAATTGACGGCCTACATAGAACATAGGACCCCACACTATCTATTCAAGTGGGCTCATACCAGTTACAACTGCTCACCAGTTGCCCAGTCTACTCCAAAGTCACAGCAGGCAGAACATTGGCAGGAGGTGGTTAGTAGGATGCCACGTTTTCGGCCCACTGTGCCTTTGCTGTTGCCCAGTAGTTGGTATAACCCCATTTGGCCAGGACAGTGTAATATTGCAGACGGAACCACGTTAGCCACAACATGCTGATTGTTACATTTACATTTGAGGGACATTTTCTCAAAAGATCCTGGTGTCCACGGGCTGTGGGTATTTCTGGTGTGGTCAGCCTATGTTGTCCATCCTTAATTGCACTCGGGACAAACGGTGATGAGCGACCTTCTTGAATCTCTGCAGTCTTTGGGATGTTGGAACACCTTCACGGTGTGTTAGGGAATTTTGACCCAGCCACAATGAATGAACAGTAACATAGAGCCAAGTCAGGATGGTCAGTGGCTTGGAGGCGAACTTGCAGCTGGGGATGCTCTTCCCCTCTCAGTGGTAAAGCTCATGAGTTTGGAGGGTACTGTGAAAGGAGCCTTGGTGAATGCTGTCATTGCCTCTTATCTGTGGCACTCACTGTGTGTTGGTGGTGGAGAGGGTGAATGATTTTTTAAACCATGGCATCGGCAGGCTGATACAAAATTCCTAAGTGTATTCCTCTCTTGTGTGTTACTCATGGGAGTGTGGCTAACATGGAGACTGCACGAGAGTGAACCAAAAACTGTGGAAGAAGTAACTGGAGGACAGAATCTCTTGGGGTTTTTTTTGCAATGAGTCATCGATTACTGGATTGCCAGACAGCAGGAGTCTCTCAATCCGTTGGGTCTGTTAAGTTTGTAACAGCTGCTCTTTTTATTTGGTATTAGGGTGAAAAGGGGAATCCAGGTCTTCAAGGTGAACAGGTAATTTTTCTTTTCTTACTCTTTCAGATTTTTCCCATGGGTGTCGCCTCAGAGTGCAGGAAAGCTTCCTGATTAATCTTCATTTGAGTAGCGCCATTGGATTTGTTCGGTTCACTTGAATGGGCAGATAGGACCTTGGGTTAATGTCCACGAATGGCACCTCTGACAATATTTTCTGACACAGGGGCAACAGTGCTTTCACTGAACTGAGCGACACTTGGTAGCACATGTCAATGAAATACATCAGTTGCTGCCACATGTCAAAACATTTAACTCTCTGACTGATAAATCAAAATCTCCTCTTTCTATCTCTCAACTTTAGGGTTTCCCTGGACCGGCTGGTCCTCCAGGACTTCCAGGCTCTATTGGACTACCAGGGCCCATGGTCAGTATAAAGTTCTCCAGATTTTCATTTTAACTGATTCATGGCTTTATCTTCTAAACTGCTGAGCTCCAATCCAGCCACCTGAATAGCTGGTGCACCAAAAAATAAGTGACAATATTCCTTCAGATTGTGTTTCTTTCTTTCCAGCACACCATCAGAAGTATAATCCTTGTATTTTGAACCATTTGTCAGCCTGGCCTGAAAAGCATTTTGTATAGTATTTTTCACAGCCACCAGACGTCTCAAATTGCTTCACAGGCAATTAAGTATTCTTGAAGGGTAGTTACTGCTGTAATATGGGAAATGCAGCAGCCAATTTACACACAGGAAACTCCCACAAACAGCAATGTGGTGGTATTTAGATAACCACATTTCTTAAACTCAATTGATTATCGGATAATATTAGCCAGGACACCGGGGAGAAATCCCTTGCTCTCCTAATGAATAGCAAATTCTAATCAAGAAGGTGAATAGGATCTTGGTTTAACGTCTCATTCAAAAGCGCAGCACTCCTCGATACTGCACTGGGAATGTCAGTGTAGATTTTTTTGCACACAAACACTGGAGTACAACTTGCCCTCAGAACCTTGTGACTCAGAGACCAAAGTAGAGTCAACTACAACTGACTCTACTGCGCAGCGAGTTCACATCATGAAGACAAAAGCCTAAGTGAGCAGTTTTGGTCTGATTCATAACATGTTACTAATCTGGAGGTCCAGGCTAATGTTCTGGGGATATTGCTTCAAATGCCATCACCACTTCCGCAGTTCATGAAAATAAAATTTAACTAATCAAAATCTGGAATTGACAGCTAGTGTCTATTATCATTGATATAATTTACTCAAATGCATGGGGAGGCAATGGCCTAGTGGTATTATCACTGGACTGTTAATCCAGAGGCTCACATAACTTTTTCGGGATAGTAGCAACTGCAGATGCTGGAGAATCATTTTCTGAAGAAGGGTCTAGGCCCGAAACATCAGCCTTTCTGCTCCTCTGATGCTGCTTGGCCTGCTGTGTTCATCCAGCTCTACACCTTGTTAACTTTTTCGGGACCCAGGTTCGAATCCTGCCATGGCAGATGGTGGAATTTGAATTCAATAAGTATCTGGAATTAAGAATCTAATGACGACCGTGAATTGATTGTCGGAAAAACCCATCTGGTTCACGAATGTCCTTTAGGGAAGGAAACTGCCATCCTTACCTGGTCTGGCTTATGTATGATTGCAGACCCATAGCAATGTGGTTGACTCTTAACTGCCCTCTGGGCAATTAGGGATGGGCAATAAATGCTGCCTGGCCAGTGATACGCTCATCCTGTGAATGAATAAAACAAAAAAATGCCTTGGAGAAGGAAATTGACTCTCCTTACCTGGTCTGGCCTACATGTGATTTCTGATGTGTTGACTATTAACTGCCCTCTGAAATGGCTGAGCAAAGTGCTTTGTTTATGGGTGATTAGGAACACTCAATAAAATGCCAGTCTTGTCAGTCACACCAACATCCCATCAAAGAATAAATTCTAAAGATATTCTTCCATCTCTTACATGAAGTAAATGTGTTTCTTTTTTCTGTTCTTTTCATGATCCATATAACAGGGTGTCTGTGATCAGGAATGTGTCTGCATGCCAGGACCCCAGGGTCCCCCAGGACCCCCTGGACCAGCCAGCTCCCAATTGTTTGACATTTCTTCCAGTCAGGTAAATGATCGCTGACATTTCCTCCAGCTCAGGAATCAGGATTTCTGTGATGGTCCAGGCTTGATTCGAAGCCAATTGGATTGATAGGATAAAAGCTTATTTTTCTCTTTGTAAACATTTACATCAAACAAATTTAAGTTTGAAAGTTTAAGTAAATGCATTTTTGGGGAAGACGATCATAAACTCACTGGGATAGTAATCCAGAGGCCTAGGCTAATGTTCTGGGAACAGAAGTTTGAATCATATCTTGGCAGAAAGTGGAATTTAATTCAGTTCCTATGATCTGGAATTGAAAGCAAGTCACAGTGACAGAACCATGAAACTATCATTGTTTGTTTTAAAAACCCACCTGGTGCACTTTAGGGAAGGAAGTCTACCATCCTTAATCGGTCTGGCCTACACGTGACTCCAGACGATTAACAATGCAGTTTGATTCTGAAGTGGCCAACTAAGTCCCTCAGTTTAAGGGAAAATGGACAACCCAGCGACACCTACATTCTGGGAAACAATAGAGGAAACTTTTAAACAACGTAGGCAATGGAAGTGTTTGTACGGAGTTGTCTATGATTAGCCAGACTCACTAAGAGTCTGCAAGTAAGGAGTGGGAAAATGTTGTAATTGTGCACTCAGAAAATGTTCTTGTGAATTCGGGCACAAAGGTGTAGATTTGAGATAAGAGTTTAGTGAGTTTTAAATTGTCTTTCATTTATGGATTTTTTTTAGGGATAGTGAAATGGAGAGTGTCAAATTACTGACCTTAACCCCCTCCACTTTGGTGTACACATTGAGAAATAAACTTGATTGAAACGCGGTCTTTTTTATTCTATCAAAAAGGACCCCTGAAGTATCCTTAACCCTGAAATATTGAAGGATAAATCAGCACTTAATCAGTGGCTACAAAGTTAATTCAACATTAATGTACTCACAGGTCCAACCTGATAGAACAGTGAGCTACCTCTTTAGACAATTTAAATCCATTTGGAAAATATTGACAGTGTTTTTTTGTTTCTTTTCGGTTTTAACACAGATGCTGGAGAAACTGAGGGGAGAAATTGGCCCACCTGGAAGACCGGTAAGAGAGCCAGTACCCATGCAGTTAACGTCTCCCGTATTCATCTCAAATCCTTAGCTGATAAATTCCTGAAAGAGAGAAACAGCTAGTTTGGTTTACTGCCCTGCTATACAGATGACATAGGATGAAATATAGAATTACATCGGATACACAGGTATAACCAGTCTCTGCCAGTTGTTTTGTTCCACTCTAGCTTCTTCCCAACTCCCTCATCAAAAACTATCCACACAACCCTTTGTTTCCTCCTCCATTGTATTCTTGTTTAGTTTCCCTTTAACCACATGTAAAACATTCACTTCACCCACTCACTTGGTGGTGAGTTTCTGATCCTTACCGTTCACTTTCATAAAGAAGTTTGTTTTAGTTTCTTTAATCACAGGAGAGGTTCCAGAGGTTCAGGAAAATAGCCAATGTGGTTCCTTTGTTTAAGAAGGGCAACAGGGATTATTTGGGGAATTACAGCCAGGTGACCCTTATGTCAATGGTAGGGAAATTATTGGAGAAGATTCTTAGGGATAGGATTTATTCACATTTGGAAAAATATGGATTTATTAGTGATAGGGGAAGGCTTTGTTTGGGAAAGGTCGTATCTCACAAACTTGATTGCGGAAGTGACAAAGATGATTGATGAGGGTGGAGCAGTAGATGTTGTCTATATGGACTTTAACAAGACCTTTGACAAGGTCCCTCATGACAGGCTGATACAAAAATCATGGGATCTGCAGTGAACTGGTAAGCTGGATACGGAACTGGCTTAACATAGTAAGTAGCAGTGGAAGGGTATTTTTCAGATTGGAGATCTGTGACCAGTGGCATTCTACAGGGATCAGTGCTGGGACCCTGTTATTAGCAATATATATAAATGATTTGGAGGAGAATGTAGGTGGTCTGATTAGTAAGTTTGCAGATGCAAGAAAGGTTGGAGGAGCTGCAGATAGTAAGGAGAATTGCCAGAGGATACAGCAAGATACTGATAGGACAGAGACAGGTGGGGAAATAGCAGATAGAGTTTAATCTAGACAAATGCATTTTGGAAAATCTAACGCAGGAGTGAAGAATACAGTTAATGGCAGAATCCTTAGTAGCATCAACATACATAGGGATCTAGGCGTACAGGTCCAAAGTTCCCTGAAAGTGGCCACACAAGTGGATAAGGTGGTCAAAAAGGCATATGGCATGCTTGCCTTCATTGCTGGGGCATAGAATATAAAAATTGGCAATTCAAGTTGCAGCTGCATAGAACTTTAGTTCGGCCACATTTGGAATATTGCGTACAGTTCTGGTCACCACACTACCAGAAGAATGTGGAGGCTTTGGAGAGAGTACAGAAAAGGCTGACCAGGATGTTGCATGGTTTGAAGGGTATTAGCTATGAGAAGAAATTGGACAAACTCAGTTTGTTTTCACTTGAGCATTGATGGATGAAGAACAACCTGATAGACAGTTACAAAATTATGAGAGGTGTGGATAGAATGAATGGTCAGAGTCTTCTTCCCAGGGTAGAAAAGTCAATTATTAGGGGATGCGGGTTTAAGGTAAAGGCGATAAGTCTAAAAGAGGTGTGAGAAGCAGTCTTATTACACAGAGGGTGGTAAGTGCCTGGAATGCGCTGCCAGAACAGGTGGTGGAGGCAGATACAATAGCAACGTTTAAGAGGCATCATAACAGATATTTGAATAAGCATGGAATAGAGGGATAAATCATGTAGAGGCAAAAGAGTTTTAGTTTAGAAAGCCATCATGTGTCAGCACAGTCTTGGTGGGCCGAAGGGCCTGTTCCTGTGCTGTACTGTTCATTCATCTAAATTCCCTTGCCTTTAGTTAAGCAACTCTCCGAAAGAGCAAGGCAGTCATGTAATGGTATTGTCACTGGGCTCGTAATCCAGAGTCCCAGGTTACTATTTTAGGCCACAGGTTCAAATCTCACCAGGGCAGATGGTGAAATTTGAATCCAATTCAAAAATCTGAGATTGGAAAGCTGGCCTAATGGTTCCCATTGTTATAAAAAGCTGTCTGGTTCACTCAAGTGCTTTAAGGAAAGGAATCTGCTGTCCTTAACTGGTTCAGATCCACAGCAAATGTGATTGACTCTTAACTGTCCTTTGAAATAGCCACATAGTTGTATAAAACTGTTACAAAGCCTAATGTAAGAAATGGAACCAGACAGGGCGCTCAGCCTTATCATATCTACCAGAAACAGCAATGGTAAACCTGGCCCTGGAAAGGTCTCCTCACAGATCATAGAGTCATAGAGATATACAGCATGGAAAAAGACCTTTTGGTCCAACTTGTCCATGCTGACCAGTTATCCTAAATTAATCTAGTCCCATTTTCCAGCATTTGGCCCATATCTCTCTAAACCCTTCCTATTCATATACCCATCCAGATGCCTTTTAAATGTTGTAATTGTACCAGCTTCCACCGCTTCCTCTGGCAGCTCATTCCATACACACACCACCCTCTGTGTGAAAAAGTTGCCCCTTAGTTCCCTTTAAAATCTTTCCCCTCTCACCTTAAACCTTTGCCCTCTAGTTTTAGACTCTCCCACCCTGAGAAAAGACCTTGTCTGTTTACCTTGTCCATGTCCCTCATGATTTTATAAACCTCTACCGGGTCACCCCTCGGCATCTGGCACTCCAGGGAAAATAGCCCTAGCCCTTTCAGCCTCTCCCTCTAGCTCAAACCCTCCAAACCAGGCAACATTCTTGTAAATCTTTTCTGACTTTCAAGTTCATATTTCCTGTAGCAGGTAGAGCAGAATTGCATGTACAGCTGCTACATGACCTCCCAACTCCTATACTCAATGCACTGACCAATAAAGGCAAGTTTACCAAATGCCTATCCTGTCTACCTGGCACTCGACTTTCAAGGAAATAAGAATTGCACTCCAAGGTCTCCTTGTTCAGCAACACTCCCCGGGATTTTCCCATTAAGAAGATTAGTGTATAAGTGCATAAGTCCTACACTGATTTGCCTTTCCAAAATGCAGCACCTTACATTTATCTAAATTAAACTCCATCTGCCACTCCTTGGCCCATTGTCCATTTGATCAAGATCCAGTTGTACTCTGAGGTAACCTTCTTCGCTGTCCACTACATCGTCAGTTTTGGTGTCATCTGCAAACTAACCATACCTCCTAAGTTCACATCCAAATCATTTATACAAATGACAAAAAGCAATGGACCCAGCACCAATCCTTGTGGCACATTGCTGGTCACAGGCCTCCAGTCTGAAAAGCAACCCTCCACCACCACCCTCTGTCTTCTACCTTCAAGCTAGTTCTGTATGCAAATGGCTAGTTCTCCCTGTATTCCATGTGATTTAACCTTGCTAACCAATCTACCATGAGGAACCTTGTCAAACGCCTTACTGAAGGCCGTGTGTAGAGACTTCTTCCTACACGGTCCCCAGAGCAGTCAGTGCTGACAAGTCATACTTGATTTACACGATGCACTGTAACAACTCCCCAAGGCTCCCCCGACAGCACCTTCCACAACCACGAACACTCGAATTAGAAAGGACAACGGCAGCAGCAGACACATGGGATACATCATCCCATGGTAAGTCCCAAAGCAAGCACCACATCATCCTAACCTGGAAATATAAGTTCATTCCTTCACAGTTACTGGAATTCCATCCTTAACAGCACTGTGGGCCTGACTGTACCGAATGGACTGCAGTGTTCAAGAAAGCAACTCAACAGCCCCTTCTGAAGGGCAACTAGGGTTGGTCAATGCATGCTGGCCCAGTCAGTGATGCTCATCCATGAATGAGTTAAAAAAAGGAAGCTTTTTGTTTTATTTATTCTTTCATGAGGTGTGGGCCTCAGACCTGGATTTACCTCTGGCTACATTGATGCTAGCAACGGAGTTCAGATGGGATCGGGACAGTAGCTGTTTCCTCAGATTGATGCTATCAGTACTGGAGAGGGATCTTTTGTGATCTGCTCTTGCTCACTCGCTGTTGTACCTCAAAACAAAGAGGCAGTGTTATGATTGGCAGAAACTTCGGGGAGTCAGTGGTAAAGAATGGCAAAGCCAATGGTACACAGCTACCATCTGTGGGAGTACAACTGAATGTCTCTCAGTCAGAATCCCACCTGAACATAACTGTAAAAATACAACCTCCCTTATCAGGGTCCACTCAGCTGTGATACTACCCCCAGCTGGAGCCTTCCTCAATGGGAAAAGCAGTTACCACCATTCCCAGAGGCCTGATTGGTGGGTCATCATCCCGGGATTTTCAGGGGAAGAGCTACGAGATGCCTTGACTGTAGCCACCTGGCAGCCTGATGGTTATGAGATCAACTGGTGGCTTCATAGAAAAAAAGAGCAGGAGTAGGCTATTTGAGCCTGCTCCACCATCCATTATTGTCATGGCTGATCATCCAACTCAGTTCTCTGTTCCTGCTTTGTCCCTTTAATCCTAAGAACTATATCTATCTCCTACAAACATAGAAGCTGAACAGTGTGGAAGCAGCCCATTTGGCTCCTTGAGTCCACAACAATCCTCTGAAAAGCATCCGAATCAGACCCAAACCCTTACCCTAAATTCCCACAGCTAACCCCCTTAGCCTACACATCCCTGGACTCTATGGGCAATTTAGCACATCCCATCCACCTGAACTGCATATTGTTTGTGTGGGAGGAAACGAGAGGACCCAGAGTAAACTCACTCAGATACAGGGAGATTGTGCAAACGCCACACTGACAGTCACCCAAGGGTGGAATTGAACCTCTGTCCCTTGGTGCTGTGAGGTTGTAATGCTAAACACTGAGCCACCTTGCTGCTCCTTCTTGAAAGTATTTAATGTGTTGGCCTCAACCGCTTTGAGTGACAGAGAATTCCATAGGCTCACAACTCTCTGGGAGAAGGAATTTCTCCTAATCTCGGTTTAAAATAGCCTACACCATATTCTCAGACTGTGAGCATGGTTCTAGACACCCCACCATCAGGAACATCCCTCCTGTATTTGTGCTGCCTACTTCTGTTAGAATTTGATAGGTTTCTATGAGATCTCCCCTCATTCTTCAAAACTCCTGTAAATATTACTGTAACCACCTTTCCCAGACCTGCTGAAGCAGGTGTAACCACATCCACTTTTTTTTTGCTCATCAGAGGGCAGTTGAGAGTCAATCACGTTGTTATAGGTTTAGAGTTGTGCATAGACCAGACCAGATAAAAATGACAGATCTCCTTCCCAGAAGTGAACCAGATGGATATTTGACAGTGACTGCCCTTAGGCTAACTTCATATATCCATATTTAAATTTCACTATCTGTTATGGTGGGATTTGAACCCATGTCATGGAGTCATGGAAATATACAGTACCGAAACAGATCCTTTGGTCCAACTCAGCCATCCTAAATTAATCTGGTCCCATTTGCCAGCATTTGGTCCATATCCTTCTAAATCCTTCCTACTCATGTACTCATCCAGATGCCTTTTAAATCGTGCAATTGTACCAGCCTTCACCACTTCCTCTGGCAGTTCATTCCATACACGCACCGTCCTCTGTGCGAAAAAGTTGCCCCTTAGGTCCCTTTCCCCTCTCACCTTAAACCTTTGTCCTCTAGTTTTGGACTCCCCCATCCTGCAGAAAAGACCTTGTCTATTCACCCTATCCATGCCCCTTCATGATTTTATGAACTCCTATAAAATCTCACCTCAGCTTCCGACGCTCCAGGGAAAATAACCCCAGCCTATTCAGCCCCTCCCTATAGTACTAACCTTCCAACCCTGGCAACAGCCTTGTAAATCTTTTCTGAACTCTTTCAAGTTTTGCAACATCTTTCGTACAGCAGGGAGAGACCAGGATTGAATGTGTCAGAACATTAACCTGGGCTTTTGGATTATTAGCCCAGCGGATGTTACCAATTCCTCACCTGCTTCTGCCAGCATGGCACAAAGACCTGGTCTCTGTTTCTCTTTCCACAGAGGCTGCCTGTCGTGCAGAGTATTGGCCGAAATTTCAGTCATTAATCCAGGTTTCTGCAGTATTTTGCTCTTCAGTTTATTTTTCTGACAGTTCTCTCTTCTGTCCTGTCAGGGGCATCCAGGACTGAAAGGAGAGAAGGGAGAGCCGGGTGTTTCAGGAGAACATGGAGCAGCTCCTTGTGTGAGTCAGTGCGCAATAAAGACTGGGGGAAATTTGGCGATAAATCACTTAGATCCTGAAATTTCCATGGGAAATTCAGCTGCGTTTCAAATGTCAGCACCAGGCTCAGCAGCTAGAAAATTTCAATTTCAATTCCCGTGGCCAATGGTCAAAGCGAATTGATGTCAGCATGGAATATGGTCAATGAATCACTGGTGGCACCAGCATGTTGGAATCAGGAAAAGTCCGTCAATATTCCACAGTCAGTCTGTTGTCAATTTCAAAACAAGTCTTTGAGGCCTCAGAGGTTCGTGCAGAAGTGTTATATCATTTGCCTATTAGAGTCGTAGAGTCATACAGCACAGAAACAGACCCTTTGGCCCAATTCGTCCATGCCAACCAATTTCCTAAACTGAACTCGTCCCATTTGCCTGCGTTTGGCCCATATTTGATTTGATTTATTTATTGACAAATGTATCTTGTTACAAAATACAGTGAGAAGTGTGGTATAGTGTCGTCACTCTCTGGCGCCATCTTAAAACTTATAATAATAAACCTAGAATATAAAGGCAGAAAAACAAGGAAATAAAGAGAGTGTCCAACTTTACAGTCCTTCTTGTTAAGTGTTGTGTCATGGGCCTGGTGGCCAGGCACAAGGCCCTACACCACACCACCGCTTGCTGGAACATTCTTTGGCACCATTTTGACTCCACTGATGTAACTGGCGCCATCTTGGTTACAAAACGGGAATAAAAAAACACAGCAGAAATAAAGGAATCAGAGCCAACAGGAATGAGAATCCCTCTAAACCCAAACCTGTTCCTGATATTCGGCACCATGGTGCACCCCATGCCTCACTCACTGTTCTTTATGTATCTGACTTATACCAGACGTAAGCTGGATGGTATTGAGTGTTATCTAATCATGAGGAAGCCAACAATGATTAACTCTCAGTCACTTTGTTGATTTTGAGCTTACAGATTATTTTTTGTCTAAACTATCTTTTTCAAATGTTCCATCGTAGGGACTCCCAGGTACGCCAGGTGTTCCTGGTATTCCAGGACCTCCAGGACCTCCAGGACCTCCAGGAATTCCAGGATCTTTTTATTACAATGTAGGCCCATTCAGTAACTGAATCATTTTAGTTCAGAATTGTCTTTCAGTTTAACTAAGGTTTGCTACTTTATTGTGTTTGCAGAGAATTTTCCCTGTTCCTCCAAGACCTCACTGCAAAATACCTGCAAGTATTTGTTTCTAATTGACATGATTTAAGGTGTCTTTTACTTGAGAGTGATATATCTCGTAGTGAGTGTAAAGGACAAAGGGCTTTCAATGGATACGGAAGGCAAAAAGGCATTGAAATTTTTCCCTGTCTCTCCAATTGATTGACATTGTAGATCTGAGATACCAGAGAGGGTCCAGAAATACAGGCACCAAGTGTGGAGCTAGTCTCACCTCATCAGTGCCAGCACCACCATTTTGAGGGGTGTGGTAAGAGGATGTTCAGGCCTGGAAATTCCATTGGCCAATCTAATTAACCTCAGCAAGACCCGAGCTCAAGGGAGGTAATTCAGATTGATTGGAATGTACCTGCCAGCCTTCAGTTTCCCAATATTATAGCTGGCACAGTGGCTCAGTAGTTAGCACTGCTGCCTCACAGCGACAGGGACCGGGGTTCAATTCCACCCTCGGGCAACTGTCTGTGTGGAGTTTGCACATTCTCCCTGTGTCTGTGTGGGTTTCCTCTGGGAGCTCCAGTTTCCTCCCAATGTGCAGGTTAGATGGATTGGTCATGCTAAATTGTCCCACAGTGTCCAGAGATAGTGCAGACTAGGTAAATGTGGGGTTACAGGGATAGGGTGGGATGCTGTTTTGTGGTGGGTGGGGTCAGCACAATCTTGATGGGCTGAATGGCCTCCTTCTGCACTGTAGGGATTTTACGAACTGCCCAAAAGTAGGCATCAGTCCCCGAACCAGATGGTAACTGATCCAGTGGAAGGCCTAGGGGCCTACCCGGCTTGCCTGCCTGGATAGGAATGCCTCTAAAAGCCATCCTCCAATGGGATTTCCCACTCCACATGCAGCACCTCTTGAAGCACCTTTGAGTTTCTGACCAAATTTATTGGAGACAGAGCTAGCCCTTACATCAAATCAGAGGTTTCCCCTGGTTTCAGGATTCTGGAACACAAGGTCACTGTTTAAGCCTGAGGTCAGGTGGAATTTCTTTAAACAAAGGAACCCTCTGCCCCAGAGAACTGTGGATGCTCAGTCACCCAGTAAATTCAAGCCGAAGTTTGATAGATTTTGGCCACGAAGAGAATTTTGGGAATGATGTGAGAAGGTGAACTTGATTTGAAGTCATATTTTGACCTGCACAAACTGACTATTGCATTTGTAAGGCCTGGGAGTGAGTACGAATTTGATTCTTGATTGGCTAAGCCTGGCTGTTGACGCAGAGCTAAAATAAACAGATGCCACAGAATATACCAGAAGCTTGGATAAGTACGATGAGGGCGTTTTGCGAATGCGGAGATATTTAAATGTCGGTACAGTGTGGAGCTGGAGGAACAGAACAGGTCAGACAGCATCAGAGGAGCAGGAACGTAGACACTTCAGGACTAGACAATTCATCAGGTTTAGGGTCAGCCCTGGAACCCAGTCCTGATGAAGTGTCCCGACCTGAAACGTCGACCCTTGTGCTCCTCTGATGCTGTGTTCCTCTAGCTTCAACTGTACTGACTCTGACTCCAGCATCTGCAGTTCTTTCTATGTCCGAGATATTTAAAAGCACTGGTTGCGAAACCTGTCTCACGTTTAGAAACTAACGTGGGTCCCTGCATCACTATGCAGTTAATCAATCTGACTGAATTCACAGAGGGGGAAGCGATGGCCGAGTGGTATTATTGCTGGACTGTTAATCTAGAGACACAGATAACGTTCTGGGGATCCAGGTTCAAATCTCACCACGGCAGCTGGTGGAATTTAAATTCAATAAATATCTGGAATTAACAATCTAATGATGACCATGAGTTGATAGTTGAAAGTTGAAAAAACCCATCTGGTTCACTAATGTCCTTTAGGGAAGGAAACTGCCGTCCTTACCTGGTCAGGCCTACATGTGACTCCAGATCCACATCCTTACCATGTGACTCCAGACCCACAGCAATGCAGTTGACTCTTGGGCAATAAATGCTGCCTAGCCAGCAACACCCTTGCCTCATGAATGAATAAAGGAAAAAAAAAATCTGCTGGTCTCTCACTTCCTTGATCAGTTGGTGGTCTTGCTTCAGAATAAACAAAAAAATTTATTTCTGGCATGTGTGCATCATTGGCAAGGCCAGTCTTTGTTGCCCATCCCTCTTGGCATGGCATGCTTGTCCATTGTGAGGGCAGTTGGGCATCGGCCACATTGCCCTGGGCCTGGAGTCTCATGTAGGCCAGACCGGGGAATGAATGCAGATTTCTTTTCCGCAAAGGTCATGAACCAACCAGGCAGGTTTTTGCAATAAACTACATGGTCACCCTTATAGGGACTAGCTTTAGATTCCAGATCTTACAAGTTGAATTTAAATTCTGTCACATGCCTTTCTAGGATTTGATCCCTATTAACCTGGGCCTCTGGTGTACTAGTCCAGTGGAATTACCACTATACCATTATCTTCCATTGAACTACAAAACAGCATTTGACTGGGATGCAAGGAGCACCCTATATACATGGAACCATATCTGAAAAAAGACCTTGGGAGATGGACAGTTGGGGAAAGCGTATGGGGTGGGGATGGGGTTTGAGCAGGGCTAGTGAGTACAGGTGGGGGTGGAGTGTAGAATGGGAAGATTTTGGGTGTTAGCTCATTTTCTCTCATGGTGTATTTTTCGTACATTGCTGACTACCAGCTTCGCATCTCGTGTTTTTGTTGCCTTCAATAATTTGACATGTTTCTTTTGGCAGGTGAATCAAGACGTCAGGACCCCAGGTATTCTCACTTGTTGTAGAAACATGTTTGCGCTGAAATTGGAAAATTTGTGACATAGCCCACTTTTTGCCCCAGGTAGACGGGAGTGGGATCAAGTCTGGCCCATCGGCCTACAAAGCAGATCCTGTGTGGTCACTGAGATGGGTGGGCACCAAGGTGGACTGGGTTGAAGACCTGCAGGGTTTCTCTGGGATTTGGTCCTGATCCCTTTAGACCATGGATTCCCAACTACAGGGCATGACCCTCAGTGGGATCACAGCACGAGTATGAGGCTGGTGAACTCTGAGGCAGCTCAGGTGATTTTGAGGCAAAGACTTGGATACGACAGTTCTAGCATCAGCTACAAGACCTCATTAAGTGTGCAAGATGTTATATGCCTGTGGATGAGACCTAATCCACTGAATTTTGAGGTCCATTCACTGACACCAACAGAGCATGCAAAGTATTTGGTGCCTGAGTTGTATTGTTTTTGCGACTGTGTCCATACTGTTTGAATGGCTACCCCACTCAACAACTCTCCCTCTATCCTATCCCAAATTCTCACTCTGGCACTGCACCGTGTGAAACATTAAAATTGACCCACACTAGAAATAAGTTGGGAACCAGTTTTAGATGGCCCTCCAGCACTTACCCCTCACATCTTCTCACCTGTCCTACATATCCCTATGGTCCTTATATCCCCAAGCTAGCTGTGTGCCTACTCATGTCTGCACCCACCTAATTATACTTCCCAGACCGTCTCATAACCCTTTGTCACCTCCACAGCCACTTATCCAGCAATGGGAAGATCTTAGGAGCTATGTGAAGATTAAAAGAAATGAGGTGCTAACAACCTAATACAACTCTAACTCCGACACACTTGATGGTGGAAAAATAAGCTGCCATTCAAAGCTTTTAAATGTCTTCAATTAGTTAATATTTTATAAGAACAGACTTTTCTAATCAGGCCCCACACCAAAGGCAGCTAATCCTTTAACAGCCTCTTTAAACTGACAATCAAACTACAAGCTCAGAACACCCTGTTGAGATAATTGTAGGTTTTGAAACTCAGCGAAGCATTCATAATGTACAGTGTAATAACATCCCTTGGGGAACTTGTAGCAAGGTGGTCTACTGGAATCCTACAGCCAATTGTTAATGTATGTTTCTAACCTATAAGTTTACTTGTCCAGCCAAACTCTCAGGGAGGGAGTTTTTTTTCAACACTCAATGATATTTTAAGACTATTTTATTCAAGTTTAATGAGTTGCGGAATTTAAAGAACTTCAGATCATGACACATAAACAGACCTTTTGAGTTGAATATTTACATTTATCCCACTGACTCATGACTCTGTCCTCTGAATTCCGTCTCCTACAGCAGTCAAAATGGGATCCATTTAAAATCAGGACTCAGTTTAAATGCTGAGTTCCGGTTTCCCTACTGTGTGAAGCACCACCCCCCCCAATACCCCCAGCAGCAAAAACTCTAATTTGTCTTACAGGAGGATAGGCCTTCAGAATCTGGCTCCTGCCTTTCATTTCTAAAGCTTGATACTGTCTTCCTGACTCTGCAAAAATCTGGCCCTGTTCAAAGTGAATAGCAATTTTCTGCTATTTTAGGAGCCTTTCTTTTCTAGTTAATTGAAACTTCAGTCCTGTAATGTCGCTTTCGCAGAAAAATTGAAACAAACCCAATAAAATAAGTTCTCGGAGCAGTTAGCAGTTTTCAACCTGTCTAACCTTTTATGTCTTTTGTTTTTTACTTCGTCCCTTGTTCAAGGAAATCTGTCACTGGCGAAGTGTAATCCCAATCTGTAGTGCTTCTCCTGGGCAGCAAACATTAACAAGAAATGCTGGAAGAAGTTTTAATGGAAGCTCCTGAATAAAGGGTCTTTTCTCATTGAAGAGACATTAGGAACTGAAAATGATGCACAGAATCTTACACTGGTGGAAGCAGGCCATTCGGCCTACACCAACCCTCCAAAGTGCATCCCATCCAGCCCAAATTTCCCATGGCTAATCCACCCAGCCTGCACATCATGGGCAATTTAGCATGGCCAATCCACCCTAACCTGGACATCTTTGGACTGTGGGAGGAAACCCACACAGACAGAGGATGGAATTGAACCCAGGCCCCTGGCACTGTGAGGTAGCAGTGCTAACCACTGAGCCACCATGCTGCTCCTAATTGTCAGGTCTCACTGCAGAGAACAGTTAATTATGTAATTCATAATAATAATGTTTTAGTTAAGAAAACCATTTGCAGCCTTATGGTTGAATTCTATAAGAAATAGGTACAGAACCTGGCCATTCGACTCCTCAAGCTGCCCTCTCGCTCAACAGAAACATGGCCGTCCTGCCCCAAGTGGTCAATTCCATTTTTGTGCCAGCTCACCATAATTGTCAATCCCTGATTGTTTTTTAAAAAAAAAGGTCTATCATTTCTTTTAATACTTCCAGTGATCTCCACGACTCTCTGCAGCAGAGATTTCCAGAGCTTCACTACCCTCTGGAGGAACAATTCCCTTTCCATCTCGGTTTTAAATGAATGTCCCCGTATTTTTGTAACTGTGTCCCCTAGTTTGAGATTCCCCCACTTGTGAAAGCATCCTCTCAACATCTACCCAGCCAGACCCACTTAAAATCTTGTATGTTTCAATAAGATCACCCCTCATTCTTCCAAACTCTAATATCTAAAGGACTAGCCTCTTTAGCCCTTCATAATAAGTGAAACCCCTTGTCCCAGGAATCTGTCTAGTGAGTCTCTTTCAAACTGCCTGCAGTGAGCAGCCCAGTGAAACCCCCATGATCCAGATCCCAAGCATTTGGAATTTTCATGCAATCAGTATTCAAGATTCAAAAGGGAAATTCTGGAAGGTCAGAATCTGGATAACTTTCCTGGTGTTAGCAATTGGAAAGGAATAATGGTTCAAATGCTTTATTAAACTTGGTTCAATAAAGGCAGAATCACCCACCATAGCCAGATATACTGCTATTTATAAATAGCCCTGGCTGTTCATTTTTAAAATGCACATTCATTTTGTGGCAGTGATGAGACTACCTGTCCCAGCTACCACGAGTATGTCTCATGCAACCTGTAGATTCAATGAACACCCACCCCCACCAGCAAGTCTCAGTAATTGTCATAAAGACCTGTCTTGTTTAACAATTGTTCTTTACAATAGGAGATAATACTTTAGCAAGTCAGTAAGTGACTGGCATGGACACAATGGACGGAAGGGCCTCTTTTTGTGCTGTAAAATCTTAATGACTCTATGATGGTTCAGCACCCATGGGACTGGTCAAAGCCTGTAGTGCATAGGATCCAACTGGTTCTGACTGAAATAACTCCAGAGAGAGACCGGTATCCCGTCATCAAATCCCCTTTTGTTTACACATAAAAGGCCCTTGACTCTGCCTCTGCTGCGTCAGAGCCAGCTCCCAGAGCATCAGTATTCCTGACACTCCTCTTTTTATCTGTCAGCCAGGGCTCCCTGATTGGACCAGATTAACAGCCTCAATCAAGGAACTCATATTCTATGAGGTAGAGCTGGCTGATCTCATTACAAATCACCACAGTGATGTAAAATCCGTATTTGAATTCCGTCCATGTATTATTTTATGTATTACATATTACTTTTCATGTAGAAAGAGCCTGTTGCCTGAACCTGGCAGATGCTTTGAACATCTGACAGCAGGTCCCTTTTGAAATAGAGCCAACCCACATCGCTGGTGTTATTGGGGTGGGAAGGTGGCTGCTGGAGGCTGTTAGCAACAGCAACAACAACAACTTGCACTTATGTAGTGCCTGTATGGTGTTCCAGGATGCTTCACAGGGGCATTTGAGCACAGAATTTGACACTGATCCAAATAAATAATTACTAGGGCAGGTGACCAAAATCTTGGGCAACAAGATAGGTTTTAAGAAGCAAAGAGACGTTCAGGAAGGGAATTCCAGAACTTGGGGGAACAGCTGAATGCAGTCACAATTCACACCACTGACTATGTCTCAGAAATAAAATCCCAA